AGATCCCAGCGCCGAACCTCCCGCCGAGCTCTTGGGGGGGTAAAGGGGATTCTTCCCTGTTCCAAAATCAGATTTTGGACGTGGTTTTGAGTGTAGAGGGGTGATGCCACTCTGCAGGGAGGGAGGAGTATCCTTGGGGGCTTAAAATAAACGCAAACATTCTCCCAGGGCCGAAATTCTCGCTGAGCTCTTGGAGGGGTCAAGGGGCTTCCACCCTGCTCTAAAATCAGATTTCGGATGTGGTTTTGGGTGGAGATACAGGGTGGTGCCACACTGGGGGTGCCAGCGAAGTGCAGGGAGGGAGGAGTGTCCGGAGGGGCTTCAAATAAAGATAAAAATCCTCCCAGCGCCAAACCTCCCATCGAGCTCTTGGAGGGGTCAAGGGCGTTCTCCTCCTACTCTAAAATCGGATTTCGGACGTGTTTTGGAGCGTAAAAGTGGTGGCATGGGGTGATGCCACCCCACGGGGAGGGGAGGAGTGTCTGGGGAGGGCTCAAATAAAGGCAAAAATTATCCCAGCGCCGAAACTCTCGCTGAGTTCTTGGAGGGGTCAAGGGCGTTCTCCTCCCACTCTAAAATCGGGTTTCGGACGTGTTTTGGAGCGTAGAGGTGGTGGCATGGGGTGATGCCACCCTGCAGGGAGGGAGGAGTGTCTGGAGAGGGCTTCAAATAAAGGCAAAAATCATCTCTCGCTGAGTTCTTGGAGGGGTCGAGGGGGTTCTCTCCCCGCACTAAAATTGGATTTCAGAAGCGTTTTGGGTGTGATGGGGTGGTGCCACACTGGGGGTTCCAGYGAGGCTGCAGGGAGGGAGGAGTGTCCTGGGGGGCTTCAAATAAAGGCAAAAATCGGAGGGTTTCCTCCAGAGCCAAACCTTGGAGAGGTCAAGGGGGTTCCACCCTGCTCTAAAACCAGATTTTGGACCTGGTTTTGAGTGTGGAGATGGTGGCACCGGGTGGTGCCACACTGCAGGGAGGGAGGAGTGTCTGGGGGGCTTCAAATAAAGGCAAAACCCGCAGGGTTTCCTCCCAGCGCCGAACGTCCCGCTGAGGTACGGGAGGGGTCAAAATGGTCCTCCTGCCGCTCCAAAATCAGATTTTGGATGTGTTTTTGAGTGTGGACACGGGGTGGTGCCACCTTGCAAGGAGGGAGGAGTTTCCTGGGGTGCTTCAAATAAAGGGAAAAATCCTTCCAGCGCCAAACCTCCCGCTGAGCTCTGGAGGGGTCAAGGAGGTTCCACCCTGCTCTAAAATCGGATTTTGGATGTGGTTTTGAGTGTAGAGGGTGATGCCACACTGCAGTGAGGGAGGACTGTCCCGGGAGAGGTGAAGGGTGTCTTCCCCTRCTCTAAAATSGGATTTTGGATGTGKTTTTGARTGTGATGGGGTGGTGMYACACTGGGGGTGCCAGCGAGGCTGMAGGGAAGGAGGARTGGCCAGGGGATCTTCAAATAAAGGCAAAATCGCAGGATTTCCACKCAGAGCCGAACCTTCAGCTGAGCTCTGGGAGGGGTCAACAGGGTTCCACCCTGCCCTAAAATCGGATTTCAGAAGCGTTTTTGAGTGTGGACACGGGGTGATGCCACACTGGGGGTTCCAGCGAGGCTGCAGGGAGGGAGGAGTGTCCTGGGGGGCTTTAAAGGCAAAAATCCTCCCAGCGCCAAACTCCCGCTGAGCTCTGGAGGAGCCACGGGGGTTCCACCCTGCACTAAAATCAGATTTTGTTCTGAGGGAGCTTCAAATAAAGGCAAAAATTGCAGGATCTCTGTGCAGTTCAGGAGATGGGGAACTGCTCCAAGAATCCTCTTTTCTCCCACTTTCCCAGCCACCACAAATAATKAATTCTCTCTCTTCCCCCACTTGCCCAAAGCTCTGACCCAGCCCCACATCTCCACCCAGAGATTTGCGATTGGCCTCTCCCCSTGCTGGGCTCACCTGCTGCAAAACGGTTTTGGTGAAATAAAAAATGCCATAAATGGGTGAAATGGGAATTTTTGTGTGGGGATTTCTGCATGTGGCTTCCCCAAACCCAAACACTCATGGAAGGGAGAGCAAAACCTGGGGTGCTCCTGATTCCTTCACACACATACTCCAGCACTCTGTCTGCTGACAGGGCCTGGTCTGCATTTTTTAAATGCTAAAAGATGTAAAAAAACGGTCCAGGTTCATTTCTCACAGCTCTCAGGGTGAYGATGGCAGATAAACTGACAGGATTCATGTAACTGAGGGGTGTCCTGGCAGATAATGGGCAATTGGATTTAAAACAATACAAATTAAGACCTTAAAGGGGCTCATGARAAAGATGGAGAGGGAGTTTTAACTCAGGCAGGCAGTAATCGGACAAGGGGGAATGATTTTAAACCAAAAGAAGGAAGATTTAAGTTAAGTTTTAGGAAGAAATTCCTCCCTGTGAGGGTGGGAAGGCCCTGGCACAGGGTGCCCAGAGCAGCTGTGGCTGCCCCTGGATCCCTGGCAGTGCCCAAGGCCAGGCTGGACATTGGGGCTGGGAGCAGCCTGGGACAGTGGGAGGTGTCCCTGCCATGGCTGGGGTGGCACTGAGTGGGATTTAAGGTCCCTTCCCACCCAAACAATTCTGGGATTCTGTGACAAAATCCCCCTTGGAGAGATCACCCTCCAGCCCTCAGCTCCCCGGGTGTTGTATTAATGTAGGAGAGGAACATCAGAGCAGTCCCTCCCTGCACAAAAAATATTTATGAAACATTGTGAGGTGGCAAACCTTGTAAAATCTGCTCTATTTCTAGGAACTTCACCTGGGGATGGAACAAACATTGTGCTGCTGTTTGTCCAGTGTATTCCAGCAACTGGAAATTCTTTGATGCTGGGTTTGGAAAGGTTTTGGATCGGGAATGTTGCGATTCCTGCTGGGTTCTGCTCCCCGAGGGGTTGTGGCAGTGCTGGTGACCCCTCTCCTGTGTCCTGACACCCCTCCAGCGATGGGACCTGTGCCCTGGGGGGCTCTGATCTCGTCATCTAATGGGAAGCAAAGTCCAAAGGATGCCCCGTGGAAGGTGGGGAGGTTTCTCATGGTCTGGGGGTCCCTGAGATCCAGATTCCCCCTCCCTGGCAGATCTCTGTCATCCCACAGCCGAGCTGTGCCTTACCCTCATCAGAGCCTGGATCCCTTCCTCCAGGTCCTTTAGCTTCTCGTACACCCTGTCAGAGGTGCCGAAAAACAGGTTGTTGGTGAACACCTTGCTCAGGTACTGCACCGGGCCCAGCCAGGACTGAATGAGAACCAGGGAAAACCGCAGGAGCTCCATGTCCTGAAATCAAGACAAGAAAGGGGGGAAGCTGCGTGGGTGAGGGGCTTGGTGGAGCATCCTGCTCCCTCTGGGACAACCTGGAGTGACCCACAGGGCGTTCCTGTGCTTTACTCAGGGCATCCCCCAGCCCTGTGCCCTCATCCTCGAGCTGGGAATTTGTCATGCAACCCAGGAGGGKCGGCAGGGTTTAAACAGCAAAGAAGAGAGAGGAGGGAGGAAGCAGCAGAGGTCTCACAGGTGAAAACCCTCTGCCCCTGCAGTAGGGACCCTTCAGAGGGCTCAGTGCCCGCCCCAGGGCACCACTCACCGATTTCTGCTGGGCGTCCTCCTTGCCCGTGGGAGCAGGGATGGTTTCTGAGTAGCAGTAGGCTACCTGGGAGTTCTTGTTGGTGTGYCTTTGCTCCTCGGGGATGTAGCTGCGTTCCTGTGGGACACCCCAGACACACTCAGGCCATGGGCTGGGGAAGGGCACAGAATTCCCAAGAATTCCCCGTCCTGCAGGGTTCCTCTTTGCAGGGAATAAATGGAAGACAGGAGGTGCTTCTGGACAGGGTGGAGAGCTGGGGAACGGGAGCTAGCCCTGAGGGTGTTCCCATCACCAGGGCAAGGTGCTGAGCACACAGAGCACCTGGGAACAGGAGGAGACAATGCAAAGGGACAGCACATGGCACAGGGACAGCCCATGGAAAGGGGACAGCACATGGCACAGGGCAGACTGTGGCACAGGGACAGCCTGTGGCAAAGGGAGAGCCCATGGCAAAGGGAGAGCCTATGGAAAGGGGACAGCCCGTGGCAAGGGGACAGGTCATGGAAAGGGGACAGCTCATGACAAAGGGTCAGCACACGGCACAGGGACAGCCTGTGGCAAGGGGACAGCCCGTTCCAGCTCATGGCACAGGGACAGCCCATGGCACAGGGACAGATGATGGCACAGGAACAGCCCATGGAAAGGGGACAGCACATGGCACAGGGCAGACTGTGGCACAGGGACAGCCTGTGGCAAAGGGAGAGCCTATGGAAAGGGGACAGCTCATGGAAAGGGGACAGCTCATGGCAAAGGGACAGCCCATGGCACAGGGACAGCCTGTGGCAAAGGGAGAACCCATGGAAAGGGGACAGCCTGTGGCAAAGGGAGAACCCATGGAAAGGGGACAGCTCATGGCAAAGGGAAAGCCCATGGAAAGGAGACAGATCATGGCAAAGGGACATCCCATGGCAAAGGGACAGCCCATTTCAGCCCGTGCCCAGCCCATGCCATCTCCTGCCAGCAGACACTTGGTGGTTTGAGCTCTCACATTCTCCCAGGGACAAAGGTGGCCCACACAGGGAAGCCCTGCAGGACATCTGAGCCACCTCCCAGCTGCCCCCGTGCAGGAGGTCTGGACCGGGTAGAAATGTCCCCGAGGAGGAGGAGGAGGTCAGAGAGGGGACAGAGAGGTTACAGTGCCCAGACTGGTGGGACACAACCGCCCTGTCCTGTCACAATTCTTTCTCCTGCCTTGGAGCTGGCAGAGACAACAAGAGCTGGGAATTCTCCAGGAGGTTCCCCAGCCCTGGAGCCACCGAACATGCAGGAGGTTCCCCGAGGCCGCAGCACTCACAAACTCCTTGTAGGTCTCAGCAGCCAGGAGGTGCAAGTGCTGAGCCCTGAGCACGGCGTTGGCAAACAGGCTGGACAGGGGCACGGCCGGGAAGGTGGCGGCTGGCTGCGGCCACTGCAGTGCCACGGTGACCACGGCAAGGGCCAGAGGAGAGAGCCAGGAGCCTGCAAAGGGGACAGGAGGGTGCTGGGAGTCGCTGGAGCTGAGGAGGGGGTGGCACCTGGGAATTCATTCCCAGCCTGTGCTGCCCGTGCTGGATCCATGCTCATCTCCTGTGGTGCCCTGTTGGGTGCTGTGGGTGAGCTCAGCCCCTCAAAATCGAGGAGAACCCTTTCACTGGAGCTGCCCTGGGGGCTGGGGCCACTCCCGGTGTGACCAGCAGTGTCTGGTGTGACCAGCAGCATGTGGTGTGAGCAGCAGTGTCTGGTGTGACCAGCAGCATGTGGTGTGAGCAGCAGCGTCTGCCCGGCTGGAATTGTGGCTGCTCCATGAAAACGAAGTGGTGTCCCCATGGTTTTCCCTGACACACTCCTATTTTTCCATCAGCCTTGTCCCTGCCCTTGTGGGGACAAGAGCTGGTGGCATCACCTGCGCTGTGACTGGCTGCTTTTGCACCCWTGGTCACACCTGTAGGATTTGGTGATCAAGCCTAAAGGATCTCAGCCCATGACATCCAACACCAGTGTCCAGCTGTGCTCACACAGCCCACAGAGCTCAGCTCAGACCAAGACACTCTGGAGGAGGAGGAATGGCCCRGAGCCTGCAGGACTTGGACAGAAGCATCTGACATCATCCTCATCCCTGCCTGAAACTCACACTGGAATGTGAGTTTTAATATCCCTGCCAATATTTATGACAATATTAACTGTTCTAACTGTGGCTTGGTCTTGTTCTTCAAACTCTCCATACTCTCCTCTCAAGGCTAAAGATTAATTCATGGCTGAAAGTCACATTGCAGGGAAAGGTTTTCTCTTTCATGGATTTATAAATTGCCATCTTCTAATTTAGGGATTAAATTATTACACACAAGGAGTGTGTGTAGCCCACCAGAGAACCAACCCATCATCATCATCATCATCATCATCATCATCATCATCATCATCATCATCATCATCATCATCATCATCATTCTCCTGTCACCCTATGAACCCAGCACTGGCCATCCTTTAAAACTGAAATAAAAAGTACCTGGAGCCATTTCTGCTGCTGAGTTGCTCAGGTGTGGCTTGGTCGGGAGTTTTCCTCCTTCCATCTGCGGAAGGGACCCGTGGAGCTGCCCCTTATATAGCAGGGGGTCTGCTTAAAATGGATCTGTTTGAAACGGATCCACGATCACAACAGCAGCTCYGCACTTTGCCGCTGCATAAATGCACGAGTGCTCAAGGCAGTGCCACCTCATTTTCACAGATGTGCAGCTTTGTTTGCCTCGGGATGAAAGCGGGGCTCCACGATTTCACCACCTTCTCCTGTTTATTGCAGATAAGTTTCCCTGGTGGCAGTGAGGCCCGTTGCAGATCAGATCGTGGTGGCATTTGGTTGTGCCCTCCTGATGCTCCTGGCCCACAGCTCGCAGGGCTCACTGGCCAGATGGGGACACTTCTGGCTTAAAGCAAGTGGCATCAGCAGAGGTTTAGGTTGGTGTTGTGGTTTGAATGAATTTAATGGGAGCAAAACACTCCTAAGTTCTAGCAAATTTTTTTTTCTTCTCTTTTCTCCACCCGGGTCCTAGAGACAATTTTTTTCTACAGAGAGGAAAGTGAAAAGAAAAGGGGGGAAAAAACCCCTATTTATTCAAAAATTATATAAACACAAAGAAAAAAAAACCTGTGGAATTAGCTGTTAGATCCCAAAGTCTTTCTCTTCTCTCCTGGGAGTAGCTTCCCCTCCGGGCCCCCAGAGGGGTTCGACAGAGTCTCTCTCCGATAGTTCACTGAAGGGTCTTTCTCTCTGCCGTGCCACGAGAATCCTCCAATTCTCAGATGATGAAGAGGAAAAAAAAAACCAAATTCGAGGAAAAACAAGTCCAAAGAAAGGCAGAAAAAGGAGCAGTCTCAGGAAGAGCAGCTTCTTTTTCTACCGCTGATCCCGAGAGAGAGAGAGCGAGCCTCCCGAGAAAAAAAAAAGTCTGTGTCTTGTCCCTTTCTCTCCCATTGTCTTTGAAGGGAGGAACATCACCAAACAAACCAGAGCAGTTTCGATTATCATGTATAGTTACAGAAGGGTTGTTTAACTTTCTTCTAATATAAGCAGATGATAGGAATACAATACTCAGCTAACCTAGGACAGTTGGATATTGGGAMATGTTCTTCACTGAAAGGGTTGTCCAGCCCTGGCACAGMTGCYCAGGGCAGGGCTGGAGTCCCCATTCCTGGATGGGTTTAAAGCCCTGTGGATGTGGCAGCTGGGGACAGGGGGTGGTGGTGGCCTTGGCAGTGCTGGGGGAACRGTTGGACTCGATYGCAGAAACCTTTTCCACCTTAAATGATTCCATAATTYTGTGATGTTTTCCTCTCCATTGYTCATGGGGAAAGATCTGACTGTATGTTTTCAGATKAATCCCATTTCTGCCAAGGAATTGCTTCCATTTTCTCCCAAAATGTTGGAARTTTATCAAATGCTTTTGCTGACCTGGTCAGTCACAGGTGTGACAGGAGCTCTCCTGACCAGCTGCTGGTTTGGATTCCAACCTGCCCAGTGCAAATCCAGAGCTCTGGGAGCTTTCTCTGACCCCCAGCTGGACAAGAATTTGGAAAAACCTGGTCATGAGCATCTCCCTGCTCCTGCCTGAAATGGAAACGTGAAATTGAGAATTGAGGAGAGGGAGRTTGGAGGGGTGGGGAAGAGAAGATGGGGAAGAGAATCAGAGAATCAGGGAATGGTTTGGGTTGGAAAGGACCTTRAAGCCCCTCCAGTGTCACCCCAGCCATGGCAGGGACACCTCCCACTGTCCCAGGGGACTCCAGCCCTGTACAACCTGGCCTTGAGGAAGAGAGGCCACAGCTCACCCATCCTGCTTTTGGGAGAAGACAGAACCTGGGGTGGGCAACTCCAGGAGGGATTTAAAGCCCCGTAAAGCCCCGATTGCCCCAAACCGCACTGGTCTGGTGTTGGTTTGATGGTCAGGGACTGTCCCAGGTCGGGAGGTGATTTGGCTCCCCCAAACCCCGCGTTTGCTGTGTGTGGCTCCGGTTTCCAAGCAGCAGCATCACCCCCGGAGCCGCTGGAGCTGCAGGAGCAGAGGGTGGAGAGCTGCTCAATAAAGATGAGCGAGAGCGGGSCCGTTCCGAGAAGCCCCCGGGTGTTGCCGCTGGAGACGCGGTGGTGTCACGGGGAAATGTCAGCCCCGGAACAGAGGGTCCTGCGGCTATCAGGTGTCCCGCCACCTCACGGCGGCAACATCTGGGCGTGTTTTTGTGTTTTTGTGKTTTYGTGCTTTTGTGTTTTTGTGTTTTCTACCCCAGATCGTGTTTGAATCTGTCAGTATCCGCCCCGCAGCTCCCGGCGCAGCCCGGAACGACGGCGCTCTCACTGCATCTCCTGAGTGTCCTGCCCGGCTCCGGCGGCCAGAGCGGATCTAAATCCGCATGATTTGTGCCGCAGCCAGCAGGGAGAGGCCGGGCTGAGCCGGGCTGAGCGCTCCCCGAGGCCGGGTTTGTCCCCGGCGATGTCTGAGCGCTCAATGAGGCAGAAGCGGCGCGGGCAGCGCGTGATGGATGAGCCGGGGGCAGAGCCGCGGTTGCATAAGCGGCTCCCAAACCTCAGCCCAGCCTTTTCTGTCTCTCCAATTGCTGCATTTCCAGCCCGGAGTATCCCGTCTGAAGCAGCGTCACAGCCCCGTGATTTCCAAATTCCTTGGAAAAGAAAAAAAGCCCCGCAATTCTCGTGAGGATGGTCCCGTGTCCACCCACCTTTCCCTGAGTGTTTTAATGAGTGGAACAGCTTTCCTTGGAGGCTCCTGTGCTCCCGGGATCCTAAATTTCCTAAATTTCCTAAATTTCCTAAATCCTGACCCACAGCCCAGCCCTGCAGAGATGTCAGGAGGTGGGGGATTACCTCTCCTAAGCCCCTGCTCCAAAGGGAAATCCCATTTCAGAGTTTTGGGGTTCATTTACCGGAGCTGGCACTGCGGGGTTTTCACTGAACCCATGTGGAAAGATGAGGCTGAATCCCCAGGTTCAGGCCTCTAAAACTGCTGCCCTGCCCTGAGCATCCCAAAGCAGAACAGGGATTCTCCCTCTCCACAATTTCCTGGAGGGAGGTTGCAGCCGGGTCGAGGTCGGTCTCTTCTCCCAAGGAAAAGMGGAAATAGCCTCAAGCTGTRCCAGGGGARGTTYAGGTTGGATAYTGGGGAAAATATCTTCCCTGAAAGGGTTCTGCAGCCCTGGCYCAGCTGCCCAGGGCAGGGGTGGAGTCTCCATCMCTGGAGGGGTTTAAAGCCATGTGGATGTGGCRYTTGGKGACAGGTGGCAGTGGTGGCCTTGGGAGACACRATGATYTTGGARGGCTTTTCCAACGTGAATGATTCTGGGTTCTGTGATGGAATCAGGACAAAATTCAGAGGCTGGGCTGYACATGCTGATAAATTTATTGACATTAAATGAGTTTTAAACACAGATCAATCTCAATACAGACCAAAACCAGCCCCCATCTCCAGGTTCCTCAGAAACAACTCCAAGCATTTAAAATAAACAAGCAACCCCACAGAAATATTTATTTACTTCTGGGATTTTAAAAGAAGCCAAAGCCCTGGGCTGAGGGAGCAGCAGAGCAGAACTGGGATTACCAAAACTACTTTTATCACCAGTGACTCCTCACCAGCAAACAGCAAATTTTCCTCATATTTTGTATTATTCTGTTCAGCCACTGGTGTGTTTCCACAGAGCTGAGGAATCTGCTGGGAACTGGGAAGGCCAGAAAAAACCTCCCTCTTCCATTTGGAAACCGAGAATCAAAGATGGAGGGACGAGCTCTGCTGCTCCTGAAATCCTGGCAAATGTGGAAGCCAGGAACAGCCAGTTCTTCCCTCCAACTGTGAATGCTCCTTTCTTTAATTAACCAATTTTATAAGTAAAACATGCTTAAATAACTTCCATATATATGTGGCAGAACTAATTTGAGGGTAGTTTTATTTAGCTAATAAAAATCAATTTTAAAATGCTGGGTTTGTGCTGTTTAAACTGGATTTTTCAGTTAAAAAAAAAAAAAAACCTGAAAAAACTCCAGTTTTCCATAGAGCTGCCTCAGTGGTAAACAAGAATCATCCTGTTCTCATGAAAAGCCCTTTTTGCTCAGAATTTTACCCTTCCCTGGCTGTTTTTGGGGTGCAGAGCAGTTGCAGGAGCTGCTTGGACCCCAAAATGTCATGAGCCATCAGGGCACAGAGGCCTCTGAGAGGGGACAGTTTGAGCCACAGTGTCCTTGTCACTCTTGTCCAGCCAAGCCCCCAGCCCCACTGTCCCTCTCTGTCCCTCCCAGCCCTGGMCCTGAGCCCACCATCCTCAACTGCTGCTGCCACACCAAAATACTTCAATTACAAACCCAATCTCCAGATGGTTTTCAGCTTCTCCTTCAAGACCAGAAGTAGCTGAGAGTGCAGCTGCTGGTCCTGGGCTCCATTTTCCAGCTCTGGATCCTGGTGATTCCCTTTGTCTCACCCCAAGCTGATATTTTTGGATTGGGGAGGTCCCCCCATGGGGCCTCACATCCTCTCTTGGTTTTCCATCCCTGCCCACCCTCAGGGTGAAGTTTAAAGAGGTAAAGTTTGATTTGTAGTTAAGCTGGACCCACTAAAATCTGTTCTTTATTCCCAGGAAATCAACACTGGGGTTATGGGGCACAGGAGGATGGAGCAGGGTGAGGATTTACMCTTTATGACCTTTATTAGGACTTTTCAAGCAGCTGGAGGTTTGTGTCCCACAATTCCCAGCTTC